TTGTATTGTGTGTCTCTACTGTGACATTTACATGCTTTAATGTTCAAAAAGGTCTTTATTTTTCTCATACTGTCTGTGCTGCATCACCTCTTTTCACCTGAGTGTGTGGTAGAGAAACTTCCTCTAGGGGGAACTTTGGGATTTTAGCATTTGAAGACCATTTACTTGCACAAAAAACGATATAACACACTAGAGGAAAGGGCAAACCCCCTCTTTAACATCACACCCCTCTTCTCAGGTTTTTTTCACCTGTGGGGATACAGGCCATGTATAACTTTGTTTTTAGTTTTAGTTTTAGTTCAGCAACAAAAGTGTTATCTACAGTACTTTCTTTAATCTGGGAGTAAACTATTTGTGAGTGCAGCTCACGGTTTGACGCCACTGTGTTTCATTAAATTCTCCGTCAGTGGACTCCACACCTCAGGCTCCCTCTAATCTCCTCCCTAGAGAGATGGTGCAGCACTCCCTCACCCGCACAACACAGAGACGTATCGTAATGCGGCTATACGTATTCTCTCGTGGCATATTTAGTACACCTGGTGGCGATTATGTGATGTACATTTCAGAGATTTTATATTTTATACGATGAACCGGTGACTTGAATGTCTACGAGCAGAGGCTTAATGCACCCGCTCCGCCACTCGTTTGGAACCAAATCTCTCCAGGGTTGTTTTCTATCCTTTTCAAATATATTATTCATTGACACTGCACCAGGAGCGGATTTGTTGGCAGTAAAGCAACACTAAAGAATTGCTTCTCAGTGAATCACTTCAGCTATCTCATGTATTCATTAATGAATTCTTTAATGTATTCCTTTACCTGCATGTTAAAAACTGCAGCAGGAAGTATTGTTACGACTGGGGCACACATGAAAATGATAGGACCCAAATGCACGACTCCAGACAAAAGATGGTTCAAAAAAGGAACTTACTTAAGGTGATAAGCAAGGCAATACAAAGTCTCATGTAAAGCAAGGACTCCAAAAAATGTAACTTAAATTCACTTTAGCTCAGATAACAACTGGCTGACAAGTATCATAAGGCTCCAAACAATCTGGCACTTGGCACAGAGAAAACACAGAATAAATACACACACAAGGGACTACAGGTGCAAACAATAAGGGCGGGGCAGGTAATCAGGTCAGTGAACACACATGGGGAGTCGAACTACCTGAAATGAGAGAGAAGATTATCAAAGTAAAACAGGAAATGACAACAAAAAAGGGTTAGCGGACGCGGACTTGACGATATTAATTAAAAAGAGATATAATACTAACAAATCTGACGAGACACAACAAGTATAGCCTAAAGGAACCCGCCACAACTGGATTATTAGTCAGTCATGGAAAGGATTTGGAGATTTTCCCCTTTTTAAGTACAAAATACTGCAGACAGTTCCTGCTTTAAGCTTCTTAAGATCATTGTATTTTAGATCACAGTACTATTCCATATAGACTGCTTGCCCTTCATTGAAACTTCTCAATTTGTTTGGGTCCACACTATGAAATAAAGTGTTGTGCACTCTCTTAGACACATTCTTTCCCATATTCAGCTAGCCAGGAACCTTCTAAAAACGATCTGATCTCATTACCAAATGTAAAAGAAAATGTGGCTAAAAACTTTGTTCCCTTTCAATTTCGTTTTGGTTACACTAATGCTGTTAATGGTTATGTTGTATTGAATACATAGTTCTTATTTTCTCTCTTTATAGATTTTCTTTCAAGTCTGTTTTTTAAATGTTCTCTTATGATACATTTAGGTTTATTTGACTATAATAATGAATAGTTTTGGACACAGCCGCTTTATAATGTACAACATTGCTCTTCAGGGTTTGATGTATAATGATCCCCTGATCTGTCTGGCCCTCTCCCTCCTCCAGGGCCTCACCATTCCCTCTTAATTTGTGACCATTTAAGTCAATCTCTCCATTTTCATTCCACCTCACAAGCTTTTGAAGTGCACTCGTCCATCTTAGCGCCCTGATTAGCTCAAACTATTAGACTCATCGTAACAAATGAGAAACATACGCATGCCCTGTCCTTAAGCTGGCTCTCTACGCTTTTATAGCTTCAGTAGATGGACTGATAATATTGAATGATTTAACAGCTGAACCATCGGGAGGAGGAGAAACACACAGAGAGAAAACATGACATAAATCCTTGCTAAGCAAAAGCATTACTCATCTTAAATTAAATTAGCTCCCTGTCTTTGATAATGCAAAGTAATTTGATTCCAGCAAGTTAAGCTCCCTTTATTTCACCAGCACTCAGAAGTGCTGAGTCCCTCTCACTGTTTTCCTTATCAGACTGGGTGATAAGAGAACATGGCCCTAAGGCAAAGTAATGGCAATAATGGAATGGGTTGTTTATCCCGGTTCCATTGGGTGACATTTGCTTTGCCTCTGCAGCAGGACATCTAACTAACGGTAATGCAATTTCCTCTGAGGAGATTTGATTAAAATGTCCTGTCCTGACGAGGATGGGGCTTCAAAAGACTGCTTCACATCTTCTTTGCTCAATCTTTGGGTCTCCATGTTTACCATACAGTAGACTTTCTGTGAAGGGCATAATGGTATCTGTAATCTGCTTGATAATAGAGCAGCATTAGCTGATATGCACATTACTTATTTTTTCTTCTTTGCGACAGGCTAATTTCCTCTAAATAAGATCCTAAGGCAACATTTAATCCTCTTTCATTTGCAGCTAGTCTCAGACAAAATGTCCGAATGTGTTACTCTAACTTAAAGAATGAATGAAGTGTCGGTGAACAGCTTGGGGCAACTGTCAGTTCCCCCTAACCATGTTAGCTCCTCGTGGGGCGGTATAAATGGGGTCACAGGAAAAGGTTTTGGTTTAGAGGGCTTGGGAATAGATCTGCCATGGAGTCTCATTCGTTCTCATGTAGGAGGAAAAAAAATGTAGGTATGTGGGTCCTTGTTTTGCTTCATGAATGAATATTTCACAGGGTTTTGATGTGCTTTTTCACACCCTGCGTTTGTATGTTTGATATTAAAACATTCTCTGGGTTTATACTGATTACCTGGCTCCTATATTTATATTTGCCGTGGTAAGGCTTTTGCATGTGCATGCTTCTTCTAGTGTAGAAAGCTTGTCTTAACCATCCATGCATTCAAACTCATATTGTGTGACAAAAAAAGGCAAAAGCCAAAATAAGTGCAAAGCTTCTCGTCTCCTCTCCTCTCCCTGGATCCAGACAAATGTGTTTTCTTTTTTTTGGTCTTAGTTAGATAGAACAGTGATTAATAATACTTTGATATGGTCCAAATGTGTTTGTAACATATACAGTATGTTCACATTGGGATCGGGATTGTTTTAAACTCATAATTTGCTCTAATTATTTTTTAAACTTAAATTAAAAAAAAATACTTCTAATTGGACAGTAATGCTAGACAGGCTCTTATATTATTATTATTATTATTATTATTATTATTATTATTATTATTATTATTATTATTATTATTATTATTATTATTATTATTATTATTATTATTATTATTATCTATTAACTATTTGTAGAAAGCAATATGAAACCACTGTCGTATGATCCTGTTGCTTGCTTATGCTGATAAATCCGCAATACTTCTTAATCCCCTTTTTCCTTTGAGCTGCAGCTTTACATTCCAGTGCTCCCCCTCTGTATAGCGTTAACTGAAGAAGATTGATTATCAATGTGAGTGAAATAGTAACCCTATCCGATGGAGAGGCGGTGCTGTGACGGTGCTGTTCTGCAGGGTCTTGTGGCTGAGGGACCATTGTTGAGCTGACAGTGTCCGCTGCTGGTTGGAGCGCTAACTGCAGTGTGTCTGCTGCAGCGCGGGACTGGAGGCTGTGCACGCGGGACATAAAGTCATGTGTGCTTCCATAGGCAGAGCTCGAGCGAGTGGAGTAGGGTGAGGAGGGGGGGGTGATGCACCTGAGCACTGCATGGTTGACATACGAATGATTTTAAAACAGGCAGGGTCATAAATATCCCTTACATTGAATTGAATAAGGCATTTAAAAGATAATTTGGGTTTTCATTATATAGAGGCACTAATGTTGCCACGGGGGGAAAGCGTCAGTTTACTTCGTTTTGTTTTTTTTAAATATTGACGTTGTTGCTGCATTGAGAAGAAAATGTGTGTGAATGAACCCTCTGTAGTTGTTCATCGGCCAGCCAGTTTAACTCATTATATATTCAATCTATGGATATCAACAGGTGCTGCAGAATGGACGCACAGGGCAGTGCAATAAAGCGCTCCACTCCCCTATAGCCTAAATGTTTAATTACAGCCACAAACAGCAGATGGCTCTCTTGAGTTTTAATTTCCGTGCCTGTGATTGAGACTCGGATGATATGAATCCCAAAACAAGAAAAAGGATGACATATTTTGTCTTTCATTGGCTTTTGCGGTTAGCAACACGTCTAATTCATTATTTTAATAGAGAAATAATGTGGAGTGGAGCATTAAGTGGATTTCCAGATGCGTGTGGTACATATGAGATATCCTGCAGTCTCTGGTGGTCGTACAAGTAAAGATTATATTGACCGATTTAAGGAAACGTTTTCCCCCATCATTGTGCAATGCTGAAATTAGTGGCTCTGTCCCTGGTGCTGAAAACACATTGCAAACGTAGCTCACAGCCTTAAAGACTTGCAATTCAAATAATATATGCTTGTGTTCCACGTGTGCAGTTAATATTATTTATCGTTATGAGGTAGATCACAAAGTGAATCTACTTGATTTAAAAAAACATATTGGCTAGTACATTTTAAAGGGAATTCCAGGTATTTAGCAAAGAGTGTTTAATTGCATCTGCCTTATTTTAAAGCACATGTACTGAAGAGCCCAAACTGAAGCATTCAAGGATAACATCTCGCCATCTAACGTCAGCATCAAAACCCTGCTGCTCATTCCCCTTCAAGCAAGGGCTCGGTGAGGGAGGGCACCGCCACACTCAGGCGTGTACTAACGAGTGGTTAGGACTTGTTGATGGGAAGGATTTGTTGAACGGGGGGTATAAAGACTCAAGCGAGTGACTACTGCTTCCTTTCAGCTTTTTTTCCTCTGAGCGTGGGAAATCGCACTGGCGTTACTTTCCCTATTCCCTTAACGCACTGATCGCCATACATGCCATCTCCCGCCTTGGGCTCTGAAGGAAAACCCATGGTGCGTCGAACTGTCTGCTGATCGCCGGGGGGGTTAAGTTGCAGCTTGTCACACAATGCAGACGTCATCTCCACTGGATTTAGATCAGCTTTGGGGATGTTTTCTTCTTCTCCTCAGTTCCTATCGCACCCTGTTGTGAGTATGGAATACTGTAAAGACAACATGTTTTGAGAATCCTGCAGACCGGAAGGTAGCTGGAATACAAGTTTGCATTGATTTATGCTGCTGCATCAATTTTTTACTACGGTTGCGTATTTCTTTCCATCTCTAAGTGTGTGACTAATGATCAGTCACCGCAGGGTCGCTGTCGCGGATAGCTTCTCGCAAACTTGAAGTTCGCATCGCCCGGTGCTGCTGTGCCTGCACTCGGGTGGTGATCTTCGCATGAGGCGTCTGTGTTTGCTGTCGGCGCACATGCACAGGCGTCCCCACCGGCACCCCAGCGACTTCTGATAGAGCAACCTCGTCTGCAAGAAGGAGGAAAAAACGGAGGGGTAAAAGAGGAAATAGTGGGTGCTGTGCTGTAAGGACACTGCAGCCGGTAGTGGACATTTAAGGAGGCGATGCTGCTGAACATGTCACAGACAATGAACAAAAAACATCACTGTGTGCAGGTATGAATGATCCTCTGAAATCTCGGTCCGCGTGAGTTTGGCGTAGCTCTTCCTCAAGACTATGTTTATTGATGCATGTATGGAATTACGCATGAACTGATCTCATTTTTTTCCATCATGTCCAAGAATCTTTCGACGATGTCATCTGTTTTAATATAGCAATGACAATGTAGTATTTGGACGAATCCAGAAGACCAGCTCCTAAAAAAATAATATATATTTGACATTTGACTTCACGGAACAGACCACTCAGCCGCCACCATGGGACTGTGACCCGGGCTGCGAGCTCCGAGAGGCGGCTGTTTGTGTAGTCTGAGCCCCCTGTTCAGACTGGACCTGAGCAGCTGTGACATTTTGAGCCATGGCTGCTGCTATCGCCAGTGGCCTGATCAGACAGAAGAGACAGGCACGGGAGCAGCACTTAGAGCGGCCGCAGCCCAACCGACGGAGGAAGAGCCCCAACAAGAACAAGGGGCTCTGCAATGGGAACCTGGTCGACATCTTCTCTAAAGTGCGCATCTTCGGCCTCAGGAAACGAAGACTACGGAGACAAGGTCTGGGAACTTTAGTGTGCAGATTGCCTGCTTTGTTGGCACAGTTTTGTGCATTCAGTGTAAAACATGTGCATTCAACCACTGGTTGATAGCTCTAATTAGGCCTTTGACTGTCATAATCACATTGCTTCCTGTAGTTAAAGTACACAAGGTGATAATGAAATGAATGATTCTCATTTATTGCTAATTAAATTGCCAAATTGCACCTCCGTGCGTAAAAAGTTGAAATGAGGGGGAGAGAGGATTCTGTTGTGTGTGTTGGGCCACTGAAAGCAACCTGCTTCTGATTTGCATTCATTCCAGGTAGCACACGGCTCCTGACGAGTTGTACCAAATGCTTTAGACAGGCTTGCCGAGCTGTCAACTCGGCGATTCTAAAAAGGGGCCTGATCGTTATGAAGCACATGCAGGTTTTTCTAAACTGCTTAGTAGGCTACCAAAGCACATCATAAAAACCCAGAAATGAAACTCATTTATATGCAAGCAAAAAGGTCAGTAACTCCGGTGGAATGGAGGTTACGCCTTTCAAACATAATCTTTTCTCGCGTAATTTTACGAATCCGTAGGCCATGGCCTCTTATTGCTCCAGCTGATATTCATTCCACTTATGGAAATGTCATGAACAAATTTGCTCTCATGTGGCAACCTGGGATTGTTCTAATGCACTCCCAACAATTAGTTCTCTGCTGGAATCAGTGCCAACTGTGAACGTTATTTATCTTCCAAAAATAAATTAGGGTAATTCATTTAGGAAAGAAATTACCCCACTTATTTGTCCTTGTTAGTAAATAATGTAAGGCGACTGTATGCTCCTCTTGGAATCATCAGGTATCAAACCTGTTGCAGCACACTTACTGTGACTCCAATGGATTAAACACCATTTTGCACTATTTAATGGCTATCTTGCATTAAAATTAACATTTGTTTTTAAAAGGAACCTCAAAGCAGAGTTTAGTCTTTCATCTTGTTCACAAAGAGAGACATTTTGATGGCCGAGCCTCTCCTGTACACTTTCTGTTTTCATGTTAAATTTGAACAGTACAGTATGATAATTGCCCCTTGACCTAGTGTTTACACAGATTAAAATGGTATACATCATCCATACTGCAGCACATCTGGACATGGGTCAGACTCAGGTTGCATCAGAATTGCAGGTTCTGATCTGTGTGTCCGTATCTCAAGATCTTTGTGTGGATCTGATTTATGTGCCAAATTGTCTGTCCTCCTCTGTCACATTGGAATTGGATTGTGGTATATATATTTCTTCATTTGATTACCAGCGTTCAGCAGCCCCACAGCTGAGGTGTCGACAGACCATGCTGTCATTTGGTCAGGGAATTAATGTCTGGCCAGGGCAAAAGACAAAAAAACATATTGTAAGATGGCCTTTTTGAGTGTGGTGTATAAATATTTAAGCATTTAATTGTGGACAATTGGGAGCTGGTTTAAATAGAATACTGAGTCAGACATGTGGAGGCCAAGTTGACTTGCAACGGCCATTTTATAGAGCCACTTAAGGCCTCCCTGAGCGTCAGAATAGTGATGTTAATCCACAGCAACAGTGCCAGCACAAGTGTTGGTCAACTGTGTCATTAGCCTTTAAAAAGCACGACCCTGCTGTCTGCAAGATGAGAAAAAATCCCAACTATATAAAAATAATGGAGAAAGCCGTTCTAAAGGGAGTATTTTTTATCCACATTTTTGAAGCTGTAGTCAGAAAACAGGGCATCCTCTCTGTTTTCTCATGCTTTAATTTTGAGTTATTTGTTGTTAGAAGCCTAATGGGAATATAGTCCATTAATTTTACCCTCAAATGATAATTAGGAAAAATCTTTACCGAGTGATATCAGGCTTTTCTGTCAGGGGGCTCCTTTGAAAATACTGCATTTACCACTGTTTCTCTCCTCACCCCTCCACACCTCTTTGCACACGTTTCTTCTCTCCCTTCTTCCCTTTCTTTTCTCTAATTCACTGTAGAATCACAAGAGCACACAGCTTAGGAAGACTAATGGCTTTTTGGGTGTGCGTGATTTAATATCGCCCCCAGGAAAGAGTTTTCTTTTTGTGAGCGAATAAAGTCAAATGTACCACACATCATATACGATTATTGATCACATAGGCAGACATACAAAGTTGTCTTCATACCCCATGGGAAAGAGGCATTTGACTTCCCTTTGACAGCTGAGCCTGAAGAGAACAGAACTTCAATACTATGATTATATATCAAAGTAACATTCAGATTTTCACTGAGATCTGTCGAGATGAGGGAGTAGAAGTGTCTGAAATATACTCTAACACCAGTATTCCATTTGGCTTTGCTTATTGATCTCCTGAGATTCTAGATTAGCTATTGTTATGGGCTGTATTGATTGGCAGCGACACAAATTGTGTTTTCAAGCCAGAGCATGTTGGTGAAATTCAAAGAAAATGTGTCCAAACCATCACAAATCTATATTAATCATCCTAATCTTAAATGCTTTTTTATTATGACAAGCTCTTCAGACCTAGATATACAACACACTTGAAAAATGAAGCGTTTTCTGTGACGTTCATTAGAATACACAGATGTGGTTTCCTCTTCTCGTCCAACACTTGAGGGAATATGCTTGGAGCGCCTTGTGTTTTCTCTATCGGCTTTAATTTTGAATTCTCCATTAATTTTGATAGCAGATGCAGAGCCAGTGATCACAGATTTTTAAGGGATTAGATCTGAGTTGTAAATCCTATTACACTCAAACCCAGTAAGTGAGCTGTGGGCACATACAGCTGGGGCTAGCCCATAATCTCACTGCTCTGGTTCTAATTATCTCACTAGATTAGATCCATAGATCATCAGATCATGTTACATAGATCGGATCATTAGATTAGTTTACATGATCTAGAGACCTATTTGAGATAAATGCCTTCCTGCATCGCGGCTGTTTATTCAGGAGTGTGTTTACGGTACACAGCAGTGCGTCAGCGTCTGACTGTATCAGATGAGTTATTGTTGAGATGTCAGAGATGTTGTTGATATGAGAGGATTGGAAAGGCGTTGTATCTTCCCCTTGCTTCTACCTTTCCATGGCAACACAAGCAACATGAATGGGTTTGTCCTTTGCACGCTGGAAAAGCCCTTCTCCTATTCTAGAAACATCCAAAGTGGGTCAGGCAGGGCAGGGCTGACAGCAGTCTACAACTGCTGCTGCAACTGTGACCGTGAGTGTGTGTGTGTGTGTGTGTTTGCTTTGAACTGATCCTAACGTGTGTGTTTTTGCATAAACACTCACAAACAGGAATGACAGAACAGGAAATGAGTGAGGGAAGGGGTTGTAGGGAGGCCGTTTATGAAAATAAAATACATTTTAATAAAAACCTTTCTGTATCAGTTATAGTTATGCAGAGAGGACCTTCTGCTGCAGAACAACCCGATTTGAGATCTTACGGTTTGATGTTTGTTGTTTACCAAGGAAACCCCCTGCTGCTGGCAAACCACTCTGTTTCCCTAGAAACTAATAAATAGCATCTACAAACATACAGTGCTTCTGTTGTAAAAACTACTACAAGTGAAATGGGTAGAAGTCAAACTGCACTAGAGGCTGGATGCTCCATAGGTGATTCACAGCGTGGATGTGTCACAGGCAGCCAGACAGACAGACAGACGAGGGAAAGAAATGCAGAAAAAAAGACAATGAGTAGCAGAAGAAAGAAGGCGAGTGAGCCAAGGACATTCTCGACTTAGGGAATTCCACAGAGACATTTTCAAAGCAGTTCTTCTTAACAGAGCATACATTTATATCAAGCTTGTCTGACCAAACTAAAAATGCTGTGTCATTGCAGAAATATTTTTCTTCTTATCTTTGTGTACTTTTCTCCCTATATCATATTCTCTTTGTCATACTTTATAAGGCAATTCAGTTTCTATCATTTCGATCTTATAAACTACCTGACTTATTACTCATTTGTCTTACACAATATTTTATACACAATGCACAATATATTAGGGCAGGCTCTCTGATGTAAGTAATGGGAAACCTTCAATAGAGTCTGGTTGGCAAGAAAATAAATGACCTCAAATCCATCAGGAAACATTTGATCAATTGTCCATGAGTGAGTTTGACCTTCAACATGAATTGCATCAATGATTGGCCAGCTTTATGAAAATGACAAAAGCCATTAGTCACATTAATGTATTCTCAAGCATACATATCTGACGTGAAACCGTTAGTCATAAATGATGTGCTGAGTATTTGAGGTCACGATTCAATTCAAGATGCATTCATTCAGACACCCCTCTGAGTTAGATAATACTTTAGTATATTATATACCTGATTATTTATCAACAATTGCCCTTGTATTACTAAAAGATATTTCATAGATTATTTTGTTATGTTATGTCTTTAAAATTGTATTTTCTTCAATTTGATAAATTAGCCAAGTTGTTACAGAGTTCAGTTCAGAAATATTGTAGCTCGAAACCTCAGGGGGGTGTGTGTGTGTGTGTGTGTGTGTGTGTGTGTGTGTGTGTGTGTGTGTGTGTGTGTGTGTGTGTGTGTGTGTGTGTGTGTGTGTGTGTGTGTGTGTGTGTGTGTGTGTGTGTGTGTGTGTGTGTGTGTGTGTGTGTGTGTGTGTGTGTGTGTGTGTGTGTGTGTGTGTGTGTGTGTGTGTGTGTGTGTGTGTGTGTGTGTGAACTTGGCTCCTACAACATGCTATAAATCATGGTTTGTTGGCTGTGTTCCATAGGGAGAGCAAGTCAGTATATACACACACACACACACACACACACACACACACACACACACACACGCACACGCACACGCACACACAGTATTGTATTCACACAGCCAGTGACCAGTTTTGCAGTTTTAATTATAACAGATTGCCCCCCACGGATCTGTGTTCAGGATCAATCTCAGTGCCACACATTGTTTAAAAGCTGCTGATCAAAGTCCTTAATCGATCGCAGGTTAGCCAATGGTGTGTCTCCACACAAGAGAAATTGCTCAAGAGAATTCTAGTCATCGAAAATCCATGAGAAAATGTGTGTGTAAAGTTGCATGCCCTGGGCGTGTTTTTGTGTATGTGACGGTGTTTTCATGTTAGAATTGGGGTTTTAAATTGAGGTTATATACTGTGTGGTCTCTGCCTTCCTAAACTTGATGAATTAAGGAATTTAGTTCTTTCCATTGTTATGATGCTCCTCTCTTTACAGTACATAGTTAGTGGCTTGAAGTTAAATAGTTATTATAAAGAAGTGGTTGGTCTTGATAATGATACAGCAATGGTTGTGCATTTGAATTCAGTTTTTTTTCTCACTTTCTTGGTAGGCTACATCTCTTTAAGGCAAGATGGTGTCTGACATATGAAGAACAGAAATGAAATTATTTGCAGATTAAAATATTACTGCACAGAAAGAAAATAATGAAAATGATTGCACAGTTTAAAAACATGAAGGATTTTTCCAGAGGCCTCCCAACATGAACCCACATGTACTGTAGTTTTATTAATATAATCTTATTTTCTATTCCTTTTAAATGTTTGTTTCTGGATTATATTAAATCCACAAATTGGCAACTAAATATCATCATGAAAGTCAATCGGGAGTTTTTAATGTAATTTATCACACATGTCTTGGATCTAGCCCCTGTCCGGATTTCTCACATTTCTAGATTGAATATAATTCGTTTGGGCTGTTGAACAAAACAAGACATTTACAGGTTTCGCATTTGGCTCAGAGTTCACCATGAATTAAACACAGAGAGAACACGATGTCCTTACATTGACATTTTTCTTGCCATACATCTGAGAACTATTATGGCCCAGGAGGATACTGTCATCCTCCTGTCATCCTGCTCAATGCGGCTCAGACTAACTCTGACACACATTCTGCCTCAGCCACCTTTTCATTGTTCTCGTGAGGCAACAAAGCAGCGCTGTTGAATGCCGTTAGAGCGGTATTTCTCGGAAATACCGGCAGAAAGGCATTTTCTTCCCTTTTCAGGCAGCAGGCAAAGGTTTTAGAGCGACATAATGCCATCACCCAGCAGAGCCATTTCAGAAGAGACTGCCCCGAGCGGTACACGGACAGAAAAAAACAACCGTTCTCTGCCCTCAGCAAGACCTCTTGAGTTCTCCTCTGTGGCCATGCTCGCTTATTCCTCTCTCTCTCTCTCTCTCTCTCTCTCTCTCTCTCTCTCTCTCTCTCTGTCTGTACCACTACCAAGTTGATTGTCTTCCTCCCCAGGGTTTTCTTGGAATGAAATCTAGTATGATGGCTGTCTCTACAATAAGACTAGGGCTGATGGTAAACATTCAAACATGCGCTACATACACACGTACACCCAAAGGAAAATAATACTGTTGCAGCGCTTTGAGCACAAGCTATACTTTTCCAGAGACATCCCACTGTCCCCGCATAGACTGGCAGAATTATTAAACATTTTCCTTTTATGTCTTCCATTTTTGAATACTTTTTTTGTAATACTGTGTTAGTACACAGCCACAAAATGCCAACCAAATTGCAGCAATTCTGGTTGAGCTGCAGTGGAATTAAACTGCAGCAGTGATGTTTTTACTGTAGCTTTTTGGCTAATTCCCCTGTTGGGTCATATGGGAGGGACAGAGCACAGATGCTTTTTCTCATCTAACACTCTAAGGACCCAGAGAGGGTGCTGTTGGGTTCATTATGGGAGTCGGGCGACTGCAGATTAATTCTGCTGCCTATAATTGGATGGCCTCTCTCTGAGCAGTGCAGGGCTTTTGTGCCCAGAAAGTTGGCAGTGAGATTTGCCTCTGATCATACACAGGAGTCACTGTAAAATAGTTCTGCACTTTATTTCATGGCGTTCTTCTGCCAAATCTCTCTGAAAATCTCTCTGAAAACAACGATGATTATGTTCTATTAAAGGTCCCATGTCATGGCCATTTCTACTGATCATAATTCCATTGTTGAGGTATACTAGAATAGATTTATACTGTGCAATTTTCCAAACTCACATTGGTTTCTCATACAGCATCTCTGTATAGTATGTGTATTCACTCTCTGTCCTAAACGGCTTGTTGGAGCTCCTGCCCCCCCCCCTCCCTGTGAGCCCAGTGGCCGTGTGCGAGACAGCGAGACACAGCAAAACCCGGCCCGAAACCAGCCCGAAACCAGCCCGAGCACACACACACACACACCCGCAGCCTGGCTGGGAGTTTGTGTGTGTGCTCACACACAGACTCACAGCCTCGCCGCGTCCCGCCGTCTCAGGCTGAGAAATCGGCGGAGCTGCAGCTGAGAAAAGATTGAGTGTGTGTGTGTGAGGAAGTCCTCACACACTTAACGTAACGGCTCTGCGGACGTAACGTAACGGCTCCGCGGATTGGTCGTTACGTTAAGTCACTATACCTAAATACGTCACTGTACCCAGGAAGAAAAAGAGAAATCTCCAACGAGGCGTTCTGGGGCAGCATAGACAGGTCTTTTCTGTGTTAGAGTTTTACTCGCTACAGGGTGTACTTTGAGGGTTTGTGACTCTGCAGACCGTTTACATGTATAAAAATCTACATAACACACAAGGGGACGGGTAATAACCGGAAAAGCATGACATGGGCCCTTTAAAGAAATAAGTTAATCTATTGAATTGTAAGGTAATTATTATATGCACAGCACTTTGGCTCGACCAAAAATCGTTTTAAAAATGTGCTATATAAATAAAACTTGATTTGATTTGATTTGAATTTGGTTGGTTTGAGCTTTCATATACTAATTACTGATGTTTGTCTGTTTTGTCTCCCTTTTGTCTCCTGCAGATCCCCAGCTCAAGGGTATAGTGACCAGGTTATATTGCAGGCAGGGATACTACTTGCAAATGAACCCCGATGGCTCTCTTGATGGGACCAAAGATGACAGCAGTAATTCCTGTGAGTACCATCTGAGTGTCTGTTTGGCTTCTACAGTTGATCAAAACATTTCAGGCGTCAAGAAAGTTTAGAAGAATTTCTAGCAGAGGACACTTTGGTAAAGTTACTTTGAATCTGTATGGGATCCTTGAGCACAAAGGCTTGACATTGCTAACTTCCTAGATTGATCCTTTTAGGTGCAAGAAATGAACCAGCGACCTTCAGTCATGCTTCTTTAACTTTCAGACCATTACCCTCCCTCATTTCTCAGCCTTCGGAGCCAAAGTGTCTTCTTAAGTGGCAGCTATAATATCACACAGATTTACCCTCCTCCTCTGAGAGGGAAAGTGGACCAGGAAACAGTAGGCTTAACAGGCAGAAAGGGGTATTATTAGCTTGTTCTGGCACAGCTCCTCTAGTGCTTCAGGCTAGGTGGTTAATTTGATTCCAGTGCTTGGTGCTAACGTTAGCCTGACACTCCACATTGTGTCACTTACTCCTGTCAGCATGAGGAGATTTGGCACATGTCACATCTGATTCTGACTTATTGAAAGAGATGGAAAAACAAACAAGAGACAAATCATATCATTAAAACTACAAGATCAAATCAAGCGTTGGCACAGACTGCTCCACATTGAATTTGACATTTTTTTTAATTGGCAAAGAGCCAACAAAAACCAATGGTCACGCAGTAGTTCTCTCAGCCTTCCCCAAGCCTCCAAACCTGCCAATATCAATCACTTACAGGGTCAGCAGAGTCTCCTATACACACACACCTAATGTCACAGAAAAGGCAAGGACTTTTTTTTTTGTCCCCACTACAAACAATATCCATTACCTTCAAGTCCCAAGGACTCTGCTAAAACAACAAAAGGCCTATTAGGTCTGACAAGCACCAGTGGTGGCAACAATTACAGCTACTTCTCAGGTAGCTCCGGGTGGCCGCGGCTATGCTAGGCTAGTCACGTTCATCAGCCATGCTTCAATTCATCTTACAGTAATAGATTACCTTAGCTAGCATTTGTATTATCTAAGCCTTGAAGAGCATTAATGACAAGCAGCTTGCGTTCAGATGATGAATTACACAACGATGTTAAAGTGTCTTTAATGTTAGATTAATGGTTAGGTATTTTTATGGTAATGTTTGGTGATATCTTTACGTATTTGCATGTTTGCCTGTTCACGTGTGTTTTTCAGCTTTGTTCAACCTTATTCCTGTGGGCCTCCGAGTTGTCGCCATTCAGTCCGTGAAGACAGGGTTATACATCGCCATGAACGGGGAGGGTCATCTGTACACATCAGTAAGTGGGCTATTCTATTATTTTCTATTCTATTTTAATATTTTCTATTCTATTCTATTCTTTTTAATTTGTTCCTATTCTATTTCAATATATTATTTTCTATTCTAATTTTCTATTTTATTCTCTTGTCAAGATATCTGAGCATGTTTGAAAATGTGCTTGATTATGTGTATAGGCCTTGACATATTTTTTCCATATTTGTGTTTTAAGTACAAAAACAGTGATTCCAATAAAGATGTATTTTAACTGCCGGAAAGACATATTTTTTCAATAATGGACTTAGACATTTCTTAGTTATTTAGCACATTTGCATTAGGATAATTACATTTCAATGAAGGTTAGGGATCCCATTAAGCAGAAATTCATCCAGACAGATTTCTATTCATCCGGCTAAATGCATCAGGCTAAATGCCTCTAGAGTTTCATTCCTTAAAAAAAAAAAAGCATTTACATTAGAGGACATCAATCAGGAGGAACACATAGTTCATAGGGTCTGCTTTCGTGCTATTTCAGAATACAATTTAACTTAACAATCTTTTGAAATGTATTTATAAGAATGTTTGCGATCGGTTAAGAAATGTTGTGACAAATACATTAAGCATTATGTTAACAATAAAGTCATTGTAAAGTAATCAGAGCTGTTTTTGACAAGAGTTGGGACATTTGATGAGCAGCCGTTCTGTTTCACTATGTGTTCAACCACTCTTATTGACTGTTCAAAATAAGCTAGTTCTTCTGTGGGTTATACAGCCAACGGGTGATAAGACCCTCCCCAGAGGCTTTTTAGTCTCATTCCTCCGCCTTTCCTCTCCCGGTCATTCAAATCAATCAGCTATAGATAGGGAGTGCTGCCCCGTTCTCAGACAGGTGTATCCATCAGAATCACCGTCTCTTCTTCTGCTGCTGTCCTCATGTTCCTAATCCTCAGAGTGCAGAGCAGGGATTTACCATCCGTTCCTTCCTTTATTACCCTGGAGGTTTGGAGGGGCTTTCTCTCTTACTGTATGCTCTGGTATTCCATAGGAATTCTCTAATGCTTAATCACGGCTTGACTTAAGCCTGGAAAATGAATTAATTTAAGAAGGATTGACCTAGAAGCCTATGGATATTGTTAAGGAGAGGCACAGTAGGGATTATGAATTAATGAATCTATGGATCCATCTGTCTGCACAACACACAAAGAAGCTATTATTTTCTCGATTTGAAAAACAAACATTAGATTTGACAAAATGGCACATAAAGCATAATGATACATTTCAGATTAAGAATTAAATCTACGTATGTACTCTAGATACTCTACCTTTTGAATCATAGAAGTTGATAACCGATGGTTGGGTTTCTCTGTAATAAACTGACAGTTGTTGCTGTGAAAACTCAACTTCAAGTGTTCATTGCTAGACCGACGTTATTTTTGATAAACGCTACTGCTAATTGGAATTCAAGCGATGTTAAAGCCCGTTTTTGAAGCGGTGTTTGTTGCTTTGATCATGTTAATTCAGAGACCTTAATCATGAAGTGTTGGACATGACTAATCCAAGTAGAAGTGCTGAGAAGTGGGTCTTGTTGAGCAGGTCAGGTCAAAGTGTTCTTTAGTACAGTTTACCCTGCTCCTCACTTCCCCTGCTCCATTTGCAGCTTATTTCTGTGCTAATGGAGGCTCTGATCAGACCTCGACTATCCAGCCACCCACCCAAAGGTCTCTTTCTGCTCCTTAGTGTGTGATTTACTCCGGTAATGGCAGCCATGTAAGATGGTCTTCATCCTCCTTCATCTCCTCCTCCCCCTTCTTCCTGCCTCTTTTATTCTCCTCTGTGAGCAAGATGCAGCCATTCCTCCCATTATCACTCTGTTTTTTAGCAAGCAGGGCTCTGGCACTCAACCTTTTCCATCCATTAAAGGTATTTGATTGTAGTGCACTTACATCTTCAGTAACTCATTTGAAGGTTATATTAATGCAGCGTGCTTTGGAGTTGGTAGTTGGTCTGGAAACGCTGTGAAAAACAGCCTTTTTTTTAAGGGAAAATGTCTCATTATGGCCTCATTTCCCTGAAGCCAAGTTATTTTGTATTCAAGTTACTTCAAGGATTTTTTTAATTGGTTATGAAGCAGTCTCAATGTAGCACTGGTGCCTCTATATTACTTGGCAAAGGGGACCATCAGTGTTAGAATTGGCTATATTTTATTTGTTTTATTCTAAATGCCTGTCACCCGCTCATTTTCTGCAACAACACCCGCTGATGTTAAATGTTTTACTAGCACATTTTCACAGCGAGGTGAATTCAAGCCAGTTAGACGGAAGCATGGATGAGATTTTTCATGAAAATACATGTATTTTGTGGTAATGGCTTATACTGAGGCAGGAGCCACAAAAAGAGAATACAAAGAAGAAATGGTTGCAAAAAGGGTTCAATACTGATTGGCCATCTTCCTGCTAGAGCGGCGTGTAATTTGTCTTTTATATAATGAAAAACATTTCTAAAATCAATATAAACATGGATATATGAATGAACAGTGGAGGCTTAAACAATATTTACTTTGCTTCACCAACTCCGTATTACATGTACAATTGTAAATCATACAAAAAAATCCTTATCGCTATTCAAACAACAGGTGAGTGTTTAACAAAAAAACAAATTGCATCTTTCGTTCACTTGGTTTAAAAACAAATGCATACTAGCCAGATCAAGAACCTTTCTGACTTGCGCTCCTTTCAAAGTCAAAGTCAAAAGTCAAAAGTCAAAGTCAAAGTCAGCTTTATTGTCAAGAATTCTACATGTTGTACATCCAGAAATCTCGAAATCTCGTTTCCCGCAGTCCTACAGTGTGACATATATACATTAAACAAAACAAAGGGCCTAGATAACCGGGGTATACAGTCTAAAATGTTAATAATATATTTAAGTGTTCAAAGTACAGTTTCAGTGCTTTTGCAGATACTTTAAATAGAATTCAACTGTGGCTCAGTGGCTAGAGTGCTGGACTTCGAATCAGGGGATAGCAAGTTCGAGTCCCACTGCAGTCAGCATGTCGTTGTGTCCCTGGGCAAGACACTTCACCCCAAATTGCTCCTGTGGGGATTGAATGTATGTAAGTCGCTTTGGATAAAAGCGTCTAACAAGTAACATGTAATGTAATGTAATTCAGTGGTTTACTTGTTATTCTGTCACAATAATACATTACTAGGGCTTTTACTGCGATGAGGGGTTTGGATAATGGGTGACACTCCATTTTTTTAACAGATGAGGTGAATTAAAGGGAGTGTGCCACATAGATGGAAAGCCCATTGAAGGCCTGGTAGTGCATCATATTCCTTTGTGCGCGGCACCCGAGGCGCAGCGTGCGGCTCCAATGACAGAGATAGCATCAAAGTGACTGTCGGCCTGGCACAAAGGACACCGCCGAATAAAGGGGAGTTCAATAATCTCAACCCTTTTTTAATCTGCTCCTTTTGTATCCGAGCCAATAAACTCCCCGCTAATTTCTCCTCCAGGCTCCACCCTGGATCAGGCCTTTCTTCTGAAATGAAAAGAAGGGAGAGGACTTTCTTTTAGCTTGTTGTAGAAGATCGGGGAGACACGGCGCATGGAAGTCTTTAGAAAGCTGTAATAGAATTCAAAACCAGACAAATTAAAATGAGAACAAACATAAAAACTTTAATTATTCTGCAGGGACTGTGATTTAAAATCCCCTGAAAGGCAAACAAGGAAGTTTTGGATTATAAAGTTTTGTTACATATGATGAAATTATGTTGCCAAAAAATGCAACTCCCCTGTGCTGATTTTGTTGTTGTTTTCCTGTCCTGCTGACAGACTCCTACCATCTCTCCAGTGTAAAGGTTTGGCGTTTCATGGTCGGCTGGTTTTCTTTAGAGCTGGTTCCCCAGTCCCTTTCTTCACTGAGTCTCTCACTGCAGCCTTTCTCTATCTGGAGTCTGCACTTGTTAGCGCTACCTTTCATGATTGTCAAATTGACTTGCCACATCACTTGAGTGGTCCTTTTGGAAAAATGAAATCCTTGAGAGGACCAATCTGCGGCAGTGCCCGGGCTTTAGATTCCCTTGTTAGAGGCTGTGTCATCAGCGGTATGAACACAGAAGACGGAGGGCATCTCTTATATGGGAAAGCTCCAAGGAGCTCTATGTGAGGGCTGCCTCAGTTTGTATCAGTATGAAAATGAAAGTGCAAATGAATGAAAGAAAAGAAAGGAGCGGCTTATTCAGAACTCGGTGATGTGAAACCAAGAGAGTCTTTTCCAAAGCTACGAGTCCCTTGGATTTGGGTTTTACATAGCTCCCCCTCCCCATTGATTTCATATTCTTTGGCGTTTTTCCGTTGAAGCTGAAATATTCTGCTCATTAGGGGAAAAAACATGATATTTTTATGTTAGAATTAACTTTTAGTGTGAGATTACAGATGAGTAAGATATATAAAAAAAGATAATTTGCTGATGATATCTCCATCTATTGGAGAAATGAAAAAAACTGAGAATTTAAGTAGATATGATAACAACGATTTTGGTTGTTACATAAGAAGTGCCTACTGTACATATGAATTCATCAACATAATTGTGACACTTCTTCATGTGTGTTCTCACACATGATAGGATCGTCTTTGTGTGTGTGTGGGAGGGGGGGGGATAGGCTACAGGCAGCAGCGATGCCCAACAGATGGCTTTGTGTGAACATGTTTTATTGGTGTTGATTGTAAATGTGCCATGAGAGGAATCTCTTTCACAGTTTCATGGATTTTTTACGGAAGGATATACACGGTGAAGGTGGGGCGTCAGGAGCGCCTCAGGTTCTTTTCATGCATTTAGGTGTGAATTACCTTTAGTCTAATATTCTTATTTGAGTACGATTATTGGCAACACGTATTCTACAACAAATGCAATTCATCATTTGAACATTGGTCACTGTTAGCATAGAAGGGAATATCACTATAAACTGAAATCCCTCCAAACAGAAGTGATACAAAAAGGCATAATTTGTCATCATTTATGGA